ATCAGCAAGCAGTAGCAGCCTCTGAAGGGGGCGCGTTATCAGTCCTCCATTTGAAAGGGGGTATCAAGGGTAACTATGAAATACCGTTGGAAGAGCATGGCACTAGCTAGAGGAAGCTAGGAGTAAGAAGAAGAAATAACAGAATAGAGAACAGAAATTAGAGAAATAGACGCATGCTATCCCGTTGAAGAGAAGAATTAGATAGAGAAGACATCGCCACAAGCAGTAGTCTCTTGACGGGAGCAATATCTCAGTCCCTGGCAGGTTTACGATGGTGGTATGTATCCCGTGGGAACTGCACGATAATTATTAACTAGTCAACTAGCTAATACCCAGAGGCAGCTATTTATCAAAACGAAAAGGAGGAGAGACAGGTAGTTGAATGCTTTTTTGTTGGAGAGAAATAGCCACTGATTTGACATATTCCTCTCCTTTACTTGAAACTGAAGGCGGAGAGTCCAGCTGCTTTTGTTTTAGTGCCGCTTTCCGCCGCCTTTGGTCATCGCAGGAGTTGTTTCTGCCAACCTCACCGCCCTGGAACCAGCATCCAACATTCGCTAGATTAGATATTAGTTACATGAGAGACTATTTTTCATAGTTAGCGAGATAGGCGTCACAATTGAAAATATATTTAATTATGTTCAACACCTGCATTCTACTGTATATTAATATACAATGGCCATACAATGGCCATAGCGGGCTCTGTCCCTTGTTCAGATTCCCTTCCTTTATCTAATTATCATGTCTTAATGATCTCCAATCTATAACCACGTCCAGCACACCCTTTCCATATCAAACCTCCGCTCTCGTCTCCGCACCGTATTTCCGCAGCCATGCCTTCCGCCATTCCTTCCCCTAGGAACCCGTCCTATATTCTCAATCAAGTCCGTCTATACCCAAATGTCAATCTTGCTGTTTAAATACCTAGTCTCTAAACCATTTATTAATAGATCGTCATCTCCCCCTCTGACGCTGATTACCTTGACCAACTCATCCCCTCAATCCGCGAATACAGCCACGGCAACCGCACCTCTCAACTCCTCCAATCCCTTTCCAAATTCGCTCTGGACCGCGAAGCAGAAATAGAACGAAACTGCACCTCCAACCACCAAGAGTTCGTCGCCTCTGTAAACCAGCTCCTCCTCGTCCGCGAGGGAACCGTCTCCCTCACTTCCGAAATTCTAGACCTCAACCAGTCCATCCAGGCAAGCACAGAACGTCTTGCGGAGCAGAAAAAGGCACTCGTCGAATCACGGAGCCACAGACAGAATATCGATGACACCTCTCGCGCTCTGCAGGATTGTCTCGAGGTCCTCCGTCTGGCGAACCAGGTAAATGATCTCCTGATGAAAAAGAGTCACTATGCCGCCCTGCGCGCCCTCGACGAACTCGAAAACGTACACCTGCGCTCCGTCACGCAGTACAAAATTGCAGAGATGATCCAGCGCTCTGTCCCAGCGACGCAAAAGGCCATCGCGGAAGCTGTCATGGCAGATCTGAATACCTGGTTGTACCGCATTCGAGAAATGTCCCAGTACCTCGGGGAGATCGCCTTATACCATACGGACCTACGCAAGAGGCGACAGAAGCAGCGAGCTGAGCTGAATCCGTATTTCGGACAGTTCAAGCTCAATTCTCCTGTCGAACTTGTCTCGGATGAGCATGAGGAGTTCGATCTCTTGCAGAATGATGACTTGCAGGTTGATTTCACGCCGCTGTTTGAGTGTTTGCATATCCATCAGTCATTGGGGCAGATGGAGAGGTTTCGGGGCGAGTATGCGACGACGAGGCGGAGGCAGAAGGAATTACTCTTGCCTCCAGTTATTGAGCTGGTGGATGAGGATGGGGCCAGTTTACATACGTTGCTGGAGGAGATTGCGGGGTTTGCCATTGTGGAGAGATCGACTATGAGGAAGATTCCGGATCTGAGGTCTTCTGTTGATGTGTGTGAACTGTCCTGGTGAAGATAGTATTGTGGATTTATATGCTGACGATTTTTTTTGTATAGGTGGATGAACTTTGGGATTCCATGTGTCAGGGCGCCGTCGCCCTTATTTCGAAGGCCCTGGATGCAGTCGACAACGCGGAAAATATCTTGAAAATTAAGAACTTGATCGTTTTGTTCATGCAAGCTATGGATGTAAGAATGCTCCCTGTGTCCACATTCATTCGTCTTCTGACCGGGCTCGATAGACTTGGGGCTTCCCAGTTGGAATATTCGACAATTTCCTCATAACCCTGTTTAGGAAATACGCTGAACTTCTCAAGAAGAGATTTAGTGATGATTTCCAGGAGGTATGGATATTTACAACATTTTCACTCCATTGTTGAATGCTTATTTGTCGTATTCTGTCAGATTGTGTCAACAGATGACTACATGCCCATGCCAATCCAGAACATTGAGGAGTACGACAAGGTCCTCAATGTTAGCTGGTATACTCCGGAGAAACCACGCGAGGAGCAAACGTACGTCCACTTCGTTGCAACAAAATTATACATCGTATTTTATTGAATATCTCGCTAACTGCTTCCAGATTCCCATATGTTTTTCCCTTCTCCCAAATGTATCCCCTGTGCTGTATCGATATCCGAAACTTCCTCAACCAATTCTACTTCTTTTCCAACGACGATTTCCAACATCAAAACATGATCGACGAGACTCTTAAAGAGGTACCTTCCATATGTATATGATACGCATATAAATTTACATCCTTACTGACCTTTTTTTTTTTTTTAAAAAAAAAAAAAAAAAAAAAAAAAGTCTCTCGACTCCCTCCTCTCCGACAAAGTCTGCGAAACACTCGTCGAGAGCCTCTCTTCCCAATACCTGGGCCAAATCGTCCAAATCCTCATAAATCTGGAACACTTCGAAGTAGCCTGCCAAGAACTCGAGCTGCTTCTCGCAGCCGCACGATCCCCTAACTCCAGCTCCTCCGGCTCCCCTATAACCCTACAGGCAACAGCGAGTCGAACACAGAAACGGACGGGCCGAAAAACGGATTTTCGAAGTAGTCAATTCTAAAATCGACGACCTGATTGAAACGGCGGAGTATGACTGGACCTCTTCGGTGCTACAGAGGGAGCCTAGCAATTACATGCAGACGCTCACACGGTTTTTGTCGAATATTATGAACTCGACGCTGTTGGGGGTTGCCAACTGAGATTAAGGAGTTGATTTACTTTGATGCGTTGAGTCACGCGGCCAATATGGTGCTGGTACGTGCAGTACATACAATCCGAATTCGCAATGCAATATATGCTTAACGTTTCAACTATATATTAATGCACATCTACAGGCCCTCCCCCTCTCCCCAGACGTTAAAAAGATAAACTCCAACGGCGTTGCTGCCCTGGCACAGGATGTCGACTACCTCACAAAGTTTGTCGATAGTCTTGGAGTGCCTATCCTGCGGGAGAACCTAGACGAGCTCCAGCAGACCGTCCAACTCCTGCAGGCTGATAATGCGGATGAGTTTTATGACATCTCGACACGGAATAAGAAATATGGACGCGTTGATGCGATGAATGGGCCGGTTTTGTTAGAGAAGTATGTCCCCCCCCCCCCTAATCTCCTTGCTTTGATTTGCAGTTTGGGGGCTGGTGGATGGTTTGTTTTACAAGAGAGTATGCTAATTATGATCGTTATGTATACATAGGCTTGTTTCTGCCGCCCAGAGTCCGCAGAAGCAGGATAAGTTCGGCGCGCTGTCTACGAGGCTTGGGATGAAATAGTTAAATTTCACTTGCATAGACACGCCGTCGCAGATGAGGCTGGGGATGTATGTCACTGAGTGCAATACTTCGTAATGCAGTTGCATACAGTACTTCGTGTCTCAGCCGTAGTAGCCGTTTCAATGACGCAGGGCTGTAAATAACAGGAGCAACATCAATGGGCTAAATAATCCCTACAGACTCGCTTTCGATAGCTGTTCAGTAACATTAGACTCCAACAATCCAATATATATATAACCTTAGAAGTTGCAAACTTGAATCCGAACGCCGTTTCCAAATCGTTCAATAAGCAACAACCAAGAGATAAGAAAAAAAACTTTGAAAAGCGACATATATAACATCAACACACATCCAAAAGACAATGAGGCGGGGACAAAACAAGAAAAGTCTTCATATTTAAATCCTCACTCCATGATATCCGTCCTTTGCTTCCCTCCCATCCCTTTCCTACCCGTGCTTCAAAAGATTGAAAACGAAAAAATAAAGAGGGACTCCCTGATTATCCATCTGTTTTTACGATGACTTGGGAATGTATTCTTTTTTCTATCATTTTTTTTTTTGAAATTCTAGCCAATTATTTTCATCCAAACTTACGAATCCATGAAATTCACTATACATATTTTTGTTTCCGTTAGCACTGGCGCAGCCAGAAAATAAAGGTAGAAAACAAGAGACAGGAAATAACAAAGCATGTACCTGTTGCGGAGGCATATGCGAATACGACGCATACATATTCTCAAACATCTGCGGCTGCGGCTGTCCATACGCCCCCGGATCCGACTGCACCGCTCCGCCATACATCCCTGGCTGCTGGCGATAATCCTGTTCCGGTCCCATAGGATGCTGGCCAAGCGGGCCATAATCCGGAGGACCCAGATGGTGCTGCTGCGGATGCTGGACACCAGGCTGAGATTGGGGCGGGAGCTGACCTGACCCCGTGGTGCCGGGAGGAGGGGCTCCAGCAGTTGCCGCAGCGGAAGGTGCGCCGGTCTGCGCTGACCTTTTCGCGTGTGGTGTCGCCTCTTCGCGCGGGACGATGTCGATGAGAAAGTCGAACATGTCTGATTTTGAGAGGGCGGCAGCGATGTCTGAGCGCTGCAAGGTGCGGCGCTTGTTGTCCTCCGCGTGTATCCAGGCGCGCATAGTGAGTTCTGTAATGAAGATGTCGCAACCCTTGGCGAAGAGGATGGGGGCTTCTGCTGAGATCATTTTCACTTCCGGATCGGCTTTCATCACTTTCTTTATACGGGCTAGAGGCAGTTGGTGGAGCTTGTAGTCATGGTTGTCGGACTCGAGGTGGTTGATTGTGTGCTGCCAGTATGTCGTGAGGATGTCGCGTGAATTGCCCTGGAGGCCTTGGCTGACCTGCAAGAGAAGAATAGCTTTAATACAATTTCACCCCTGCTAACTATCAGGAGGGCCGGTACAGTACGCAACGTGACTGACGAACAGCTGAAACATGGCGGCTTCCTACTCACGTTTGCCCATTGTCCAGTGTATAATTCAGGTACAGGCGCATAACCTTGAGCGGAAAGCTAATTGATTGAAAATGCGGCAATGTAAGTAGACGCTCGCAAGTAATTGTTGAGAAAGTTGTATTAGAATGTATCGTCTCGGAGATGGAAATGAACAAAAGGCAGCTCTTGTTCATGCATAACAGAATTATTATGAGAAGGAAAACAAAACCACTTACCGCCGCGCTGGCACCTGCAGAGATGTTACACAAGCTGTTAGTTAAGATAAGAATAAATCTAGCATTCCTTGCTTCAAGAATATCAAACAAAAATCCAACATCGAGATAATAAACCCTGTTTATTTCTCAATGGGTTGGCTCTAAGCTATGCAGGCGGGTAAAATCGTGGTATACGAACCATAATGACCCCCATTCCTGGTATCATATACCGGCTGCTGGCGACCTTGTTGCTGGCCGGTACCCGACTGTGTCTGTTCCATTGAGGGATATCTGTTGAAACGGAGGATATATAGGGGCTAGAATAAGGGTCAGTTGGGCAGCGTCGAGTCGTGTCGGGTGGTGTCTCAGCTGTCAGCTTCGGCTCGAGTTGATGTCAAGGGTCCCCGGGAAGAAGGTAGGAGATAAACGGTGGTTAATTTTGGAGGGAGACAGGAATAATAGCCGGAGGAGAGAATAAGAGGGTAAAGAAGGGGAGGGGGAAGAGTAAAAAGAAAGATATGTGCGGTGAGTTGGTGGAAAGCCGGTCGTGAGCATAAGAGAGTGTTTTTGGCAATGGGTGTGATTGTGAAACGTGACGGGTGATGAACTCGCAGAAGTCTAACTAGACTCAACTTGACTAAACTGAATTTAAAACTGTAGCATTCATCCTGTGAAGGGGGGAGGAAATAAGGATGAGGATAAGGGAGAGCTGTTGTTATTATTACTATTATTATTGAATACACTTGGAGGTATATTTATTACATTATTATAGAGAATTCTGTGTCTTCTGTTGTTATCTACATCCGCTTCCTCTTTTATCCTTTCACGCAAAACAGTTGAGCTGAATGTATAGATTTAAGCTTTTGTTTACCCTCGCAACAGGCCAAGCCACCAATTAGGCACATTAAATCTATCCATATGGGCTAAAATACTCTGCAGCAGCTCAAACGATGCCAGGCTGGTTTGACAGCCTGATTCTAGGCATCTCGTTGGCTGAAGCTTCGAGATTGGGTGTCCATGAACAACTCATCTCAGGTACGGCATGATGATGCCACAATACTTGATGCTGTAACTCGATTTGTCCGTTGGGCAACGATAGGCCCAAGTTATTCCGCTTAGTAGGGACTAGTTACTCGGTAATCAAACACATAGCAATGATTTGTTTGACGTGGATATGTTAAATTTATGCTCGGCCTGAGTGTTCTCCAGATGAATCGAATTATGGAGTGCACCCAAAAGGGCACTTCGTAGGTTGAACTGTGATTGGTTGCATAACCACCTCTGCCTCGACCATCAGGTAAGAATCAGGGATGAGGGTGGAAATGGAATCACTGTGCATTAGTGGCTAAATTAGCAGGTTATTGTTTAAATTCCACGACAGCTAACTATCAAAACAAAAACTCACTGTTAGACAGAAGAGGAGAATGAATGATCTGATAAAATAAATTCTCAAAAGAACAGTGCCTACCCTCAATGACCGTCAATGAATGACTGCTGATCTGATAGTTATAGATAGAGATCCCAAAGCGAGAAAACTAGCAGGGATACAATATAGATAGTGATAATTCCATGGGATGGTGTTAGGGTTTTCAGTCCTGGTCTCAGCCATGGACGAGACTCAGTGGATTGGTCTTAATCGCAAAACCCCATCAAACACCCTCTCATACTGATGATGCTGGTCACCCCTGCCAGACCGCGTGTTCCTTGACGGATAGTTACACCTCTGATCTTGGAGTATGAGCAGCTTCCACATGTCGGTCGACACAGCAAACGGGGGGTTTTCTTGGTCCACCATGATCGTGTAATAGGAAATGTTAGCATCTTGCAGGTGGCACGCTGAGCTCCAACATGCATCAATCCCGGGAACTGTGCAAGTGCACGCAATGAGCATACCAGCAAAAGATGGATTCAATAATGAAAACGACGACCCGAAGAAAGAGAGACATTTAGAGGTTAAGATGTGAACGCGATTCGATATCCGCATGTCTTTCTGCATCCGAACCAGAATCGTTCAATTTTCCCCTTGCTGCACCCCATAGCAAGCTGCTTGTGGAACAGATCCAAGGTTATTGGAATCTCTTTGGACCTCTGTGGTTTTGTGGTCACATCGAGGTGGCTTCGAACTCCAGAGTTGGTGAGGACAGATTCATCACAAGTGGGCACAGTGCTGGAGGGAGTTGCTGAAGGTAGTAGACGCGCTGCAAATCTTCATTGGATATTACCTCCCTCCCCTTTATCCATTCTTGCAACTTTCGCATCTCTTCTGAGAGAAAATGCAAGAGAAGCAGGTAAAGATCATTGCGTGGAATCCACGGCATGATAAGTTAGGATAGGTCACTTAAAGATCAGATCGAGAGTCCCAGTAAAACTACCACGGGGCACCCAAAGGCTATTCAGATATATGAACTCCCATGTCTACTAATAGGCACGTGTACCATACATATATATGTGTAGGGGAGGGATAAAGTTTTGGAGTTGCTCGCTCGCGCCGGAAACACCGACAAGGTCATATACCAACCATCACCACCCACATTTTCTGGCAGAAAAGACAGGCAGTTCGAGGGACATGTCTTTGCTCATGGTGGATATAACATCTGGCAGCTGTCTGAACGTTGATTTTGGAGTCTGGGGATATTTCCTGCTTAGGCAATTCTTGTTAAGACGAGGAGAAAGAAGATGTGCCAAGACATCTTTTGGTGCTGACTAACCTAGTCAGTCCCCGGAAAGTATTAAGTAAGAAAACGAAAACTTCCCTCCCAACAACATCGACACTGGACTTATTTTTCCATTCTGCTATTTCTTTTCAAAAGCTCTCCCTCGTTCCGTTCTCCTTGAATATGTCAGCTTTTCTATTTTTGGGTGTCTTGTATTTTCACAATTTCTTGATAACATAAGCAATAATCGTTTTGCGAAAAGCATTCTGAAATCCTGTCATCAATATGTCTGTGCAGGCTTCTACTAGCTCTTCCGACAACGTGGAAATTTTGTCAGACGAGCAGATTCAGTCCCTTCTCCTGGAGGCAGAGACACGGCTTCGTTCCGCCTCCCAGGGGAATTCCATTCACCCTCGTTCGGATGATTCTGTAGCTTCATCTAGTTCATTGTGGTACTTTTCCTCTTCTTCCCGAAACGTATTTCGTTGTCCTCCAAACGCCGCCTTTTAATACCAATGCTAATAATTGCTGAAATTAGCCTTCCCGCGCTTGATTTCACTCAAATCGTCCAGCCCTACATTCGTGAAAAAAACAATGTTGCTGCCTTTGACGAATCTCGAGCTGTGACGGGTGAGCAGAAAAAGCTTTCGGAAACCATCCGCTCAGTTCCTCAAGTTCCTGACCCCAAGTACAAAAGGGTTAGTAGTCGCCGTCTACCACCATCCATTTCCTTGAACATTTCCTACAACATTTTACTCTTTTATCAATGGTGTTATGACGAAGATATTTTACCGCATCTAGCGCTTGATGCAGTTTTACTAGTCCGTCTTGGGCTACGCTGCTTCTGTGAAAGTTCTATTTTATTCATAGTTACTCTGAACACTATTCTCTCTCCCTCGCATTCTTGCATTTGCTATTGTGGGTCGTTTCATGTCTTTTTGAATTTAGGTGCTAACTCGTATTAGCCAAAGGAGAAACCAACCGCAGGATCAGACTGGTTTAATTTACCCAAAACAAATCTCACCCCAGAATTGAAAAAGGATCTCCAGCTTCTTCGTATGAGACCAGTGCTCGATCCACACCGACACTACAAGAAAGACAATAGCAAAGCGAAAGCTCCCGAGTTCTCCCAGGTTGGTACCATAGTTGAGGGTCCTACCGAATTCTTCAGCGCTCGCATTCCCAAGAAAGAACGCAAGCGGAATTTCGTGGAAGAAGCGATGGCTACCGAGAAGGAGAACGGTCGTTTCCGCCGGAAATATGAAGAAATCCAGTCTGCAAAGACGAGCGGCAAGAAGGCTCACTACAAAGCTGTCAAGGCGAAGAGGTCGAGAAGCAGCAAGTTTGGTTGAAGTGTTCTCTATAATTCAAAACAATGCTTCTGGACTTACGTACATATTAGGCGCTCCTCGGCAAGTACATGTAGCCTTCGTATCCCACTCGATAAAATCCAAACATCCAAACATCCAACACCACAGAACCAGAACCGGTTCGCCAACCCTGCTATCTATCACCCAACTAGTTTTCGGCGGCAGCAAAAATATCTGCCAGAGCTTGCGTTACCAATTTCTAGCACGGCGAATAAGTCGGTTGTGGTGCAAGGGGCTGTCTAAATAAGGATTTGCAATCACTCACCTGCATATCTGCTGCTGCAAGGCGACCAGTCTCAAGGACTTCTTCATGATTCGCCTTGCCTTCCTCGACGATGGTGTTTAGCTCGTCCACTGTTGAATTCTGCAAAAGCCGATCTTCTCCACGTGGAACTGGAGTCGAGACTGCTTTATTCGTGACCAAGCTCATCGCGAGAACCCTGATCCCACAGTGTCTAGCCACGATGATTTCAGGAACTGTTGACATTCCAACGAGATCTGCGCCGAGCTGGCGTAGTAGCCGGCATTCAGCTCTCGTCTCAAAGCTTTTTTTTTTACCCTAGTCAGCGGCACCCAAGAAGAAGCATAATAAGTTCTAGTACTGGGGTAATCTTTTACCTGGGTCCCCCAGCAAATGCATAAACTCCCTCGTACACTCGTCTAGTGTTTTCTGGCACCGTCACTTTTCTCCAGGCTCGATGGGCATTCCTCCGGAGCCCAAGATCATACGCGTCTGATAGAGGAGGGAAGCGGACGCCAAATTCGTTATCATTCGCGCCTCGAAGTGGATGTATTCCCGCAAGACCGGCAAGAAAAATATGCTGCCATGGTGTCATTCCTTGTTGTTTATGTTTGTTATGTTGGGGAGGGAGGAGGGGGAATGGAGGAAACTCACATCATTCAAGATGACGATGTCCCCAACTTCGTATTCAGGATTCAGTCCTCCTGCAGCACTTGTGACTGATGATGCGGATATACGTATTTAGTTATCTGTATGATAATGAATGGCAATATAATATATACGGAGGATTCTCACCAACGATTATCTCAATCCCAAGTAGTTTAAATAAACGCACCGGAAAAGTGATCCTATCTACTGAGTGGCCTTCATAGTAACTTTTTTCTTGGCAGTTAGACAAAGTGTAAATTTCAAAACCACGTAGAATAGCCAGTCTTCTGTGATCAGGAAACATACTGCGACCTGCCAACCATCAACACACCTGCAATATTTTCTCCAAGAATACCGAACACGAGTTTTCCGACATGTCCAGGAACTGCGCACGCATTCACATTAGCATCATCATTTGAGACATTATCAGGCAAGTATACCTCATTATTAAACGACCCAGGCCAGGTGCTCTCCAGCTGTGTAATTCTTTCCTTCACAACACACAAGTTGCCTGAGATATATATATATATATATATTTACCTGTTGAAACTGGAAAATGAGGAATCGACGCATAGTCAAATTCAGCCTTGGGACTCTTGTTCACTGATTCCGCCAGCCCGCCTAGTCCCGACCCGCAGATAATGGCAAACCGGGGTTTTTGGAGCTCAACGGGAAGACGTTCCCGCAGATAGCTGCAAGTTTCTTGTGCTTGTTGGAAGATGGATTTCTCGCCCATTATTTATGCTTCTAGATTTTCTGGAGATGAGGAGGAATGAGGAAGGGCAAACGAAATATAGCGGGGGTGTATCTATTCCTGCTACTCGGATTCGGTATGGATGTGCTTGCAGGTGAGGTTTATTGTGGGATATCTGGGGATCAGGAGATGAGCCCGTTAAGCTAGCATATATAGAGGACAAGTATATTTTTCAAACAGCGGATGTATAAGAAGATTACGATAATACAGCACTGCTAGCTAAAAGTATTCCAACATAAATAAATGATAGCAATCTCTGGCTAGAGATCCCTTACAACGTTGTTTGGCCAAGCTACCCCCACCACATCAACGGACCACCTGCCCAAACTCCATCAAGGCAGCTCATTCAACAACAGCTTCGGAGGAGGAATAATTATATGTAACCAATACTGAATTGGCGATGGAAATTACACCCCGTACCTTCGATTAATTGTCTACTGCCCGCCTTCGTGTCTGCTGTGCCTACTAGATGGGGGAGATTTCTGGGTACTTCATGATACACAAAAATCACTAAGAAACTGAAGTACCTCTAAGTGGGGAGTTGTAATTGGGCAAATGGAAAGTGTTACGGCGCAAGCTTGCTTGTAATATGGATTAAGGTTGATCCACCTCCGCTCCGAAGGTTGATCCGTTCCGATCCCTAACCACCTCTATATTTTGGCTGCTCATTCATTCCACATTCTAATCCTCAATTTAGTATTCTTGTTGCAGCTGCCTAGTTAGATGGATGAATTGAAGCTGTTGTCTTGTTATCACCCTGACTCTAGTTGAGTCATGACACATTTAGCACAGTTGCTATCACTGAGAAGCTCATAGATAGATATGAATTTATATATAATTATAGATATAAATATAAATATAAATTTTAAATATTTAGTATGATTATTATCACTAAAAAGCTCATATAGACATGAATGTAGACATGCTACTCAATCTTCAGAACTTTTTGAAAAAGAAAAGTTTAATATTTTATTATAACTCTATTAGAGTCAAAATGATAATAGAATAAAAGTTTCAATTTATCTATTTAATTAAATATTTATGATAAGAATACTAAACTGAAAATTAAAATATGAAATAAATAAGTAGCTGAATATATAAAAATGATTAAAGATTTAAATGAATCTATATTCAGAGCAGAGATAATTAAGAATTAAAGTAAATTATTATGATTTAACTAAAGTCAAAATGATAACAAAATAAATAGCTACAATGAGAATATTAAACTAAGAATTAGAATAAGAAGTGAACAAGTAGCTAAATATATAAAAATAATTGAGAATCAAAGTAAATCAATCTTTGAAATAAAGATAATTGAAAATTAGAATAAATTAATCATTATAACATATTATAGTATAGTTATTTGTATATAAGTTAATATTGATCTGCTCTGCTACACTCTAAAAATTAATTCATTCTGACCTTAATCATATTCAATTGCTCATGTTGATTTGCTCTGATTTTCAATTATATTTACTTTAAAGATTTAGTTAATCTGATTCTCAATCATTTCTATATATTTAACTATTTATTTATTTTTCATTCTAATTCTCAATTTAGTATTTTTATTGCAGCTATATAATTAGATAAATAAATTAAAACTATTTATTTTATTATTATTTTGACTTCAATTGAATCATAATATAATATA